CAGTTCAGTACGGGTCAGGTGACCCTTCCCTGAGTCATGTAAATCACTATTCTGATATGTGAAAACTTTCACAGTTCAGTACAGGTCAGTTTTTACAGATCAGAATAGTAATGTTACTGACTCAGGAAAGGGTCAGGTGACCCAAACTGAACTGTGAATGTTTTCACAAATTAGAATAGTGATGTTACTGACTCAGGGATCCGTTATCTGACCATAACTCAGTTTTTACAGATTAGAATAGTTATGTTAGTAGACAAGGGAAGGGTCAGCTGACCCGTAGTGAACTGTAAAAGTTTTCACAGATCAGAATAGTGATGTGCATGACTCAGGGAAGGGTCAGCTGACCCGTAAAATATTCACAGATCAATCTGGTGAAGATGACACCGATTTCATTCCTCCAAGTGTCCAACTTTTGGCGCTATAGGCATTATAAAATTAAGAGTCGCTACAAAAAACAAAACAAAACCTGATTTCGGCCCAAAGGACAGCGTCACCTGAATTCACAAATCATGGAGAATGATATTCGGTATTATTTGCATGTCTATGACAGCGCACTGCGTATTTATAGCCAAAAGAAATCTGAATATCAAACCGCAAACTGCGGTCTTTACTGCGGTCTTTCACTTTGTATAATTGACTAAGGTTGCTGACCCCTGACGCAGGTAAAGCACACAAGTTGTGAAAAATCAAGATAAAAAAAAACATGAAAAAGAAAGAGGGGCCTACTGCATTATAACAACACAAGGGTGAGTAAATTATACCCTAATTTAGATTTTTGGGTGAACTATCCCTTTAATGTCACATGTTAATTCACAATGCAATCATAATTATTTATTGATATATTCCTACTTTGTCAATAGTCAATATTATAGCAAAATCTCAAAATAAGTTTTTATCATATGGGCTGTATCTTGCATTAAAACAGAACCGCTTTTTCACTTTTGATTTGTTGAATAGGCCATGTGATTTGCTTCCCTTTTTCATTTCTCTTGTGTGAATAGGCCATGTGATTTGCTTTCATTTTTCACTTCTCACATTTTAAAAGACCTTTTAATGTATCACGTTCGTTTATTGCAATTAAACACTTCTCTACTGTGGTCTACCTTGCCCTATCATGTGATTTGACTTAAACAAGGGCGGGGTTTTGAGGTAAAATTGGGAAATTTTAATTGTTGGTATTAAAAGCATCTAAATCTTTGTCTATTTCACCATTCAGCATGATGTTCAAGAGGCCTTAACCTGTGGCTGGATGATAGACATTGCAATCTGAACAGAGTAAGGCTACTGGATTTTTAATTTATATAACCGTGACTTAAATTAAATATGCATTTATAAATGTGCTATAATTGGAATTTGTCTGCAGCTGTATACAATTTTAATTATTATTTTCAGCTATAAATTGACTGAAATTATCACTATATTTATTGTTTATACATTACAATATTTATTTAGAGGAAATATTTTCCATAACTATATGCAGATTTATAAATGTGCAATAATTTTAATTTTTTTATGCAGCTTTATGAAATTTCAATTGATTGTTATTAGCTTTATATTGATTAAAATTATCATTATGCTTAATGTTTATACTTTAAAGTATATATTTAGAGGAAATATCTTCCATACCTACATGCAGCAGTGGCGTTCCGTCCATATAAGCTGCAAAAGCTCCACATACCGTGGGTTAATTAATATAAACATGATTATAAGTTGATCCCTTGTCATTTGAGATGTAACTTAAAGCTTAATAAAGTGATGGGAATAAGTACGTCAAATATTTTTTTGGACAAACAACAGTAATTTTCTGAAAATCTGTGCAAATTACGGAAGCTTCCTGGCGAGCAGATTCACAGCAGCTTTGGTGCCGACTCTGTCGCTATGACTCGTCAGAATTATAGCGCGTTCTCATTGGTTTGCTGGCATGCGGCTGATTTCATGCACGAGGTAAGCTGTTCAAGAAGCGCTCGCCGAAGCAGAAAAATGTGCTGCTGCTGGCAGATCTTGATTGCCGAAAATCACACTGTTTGATGGAAAGCCATCTCGACTAAATCAAATGAAAAAACATTGTAACCAGGGACAGAATGGGAGTAAAAAAACGACCCTGGATTTCCCCCAAATAGGCCCCACCACAACTACAAACAGTCGCTACTTTCTCTATTACAGCAGTCAATGCATCGCATTTATGGCAAATAACATCACAAAACCCATAGTGATTGAAATAAATGTATTATATGAACTAAAATACTTTTAAATATAGCCTACATAAAAAGAGCAGAATGCAAAAAAATTTAGGCCTATATGACATATAATGATATATGTAAACATAGAATCTAGAAACCTGAAACAACAGAACTGTTCTACAATTTGAGTATTCATGTGTCTGTGTGTGTATGTGTGTGTGTGTGTGTGTGTGTGTGTGTGTGTGTGTGAAATAGCAGTGAACGTTGGGACTAGGGCAGTGGTTCTCAACCTTTTTTTATTCCAAGGCCCCCCAACCTAATATTCACAAAAACCTTTGTATTCTAGTGTTACTGTAGTATACTGTACAACTTAAAACTACTTAAAAGTACATAAAGCTCAATTTTACAGTAAGTTTAACAAATAAGCACAAGCCAACCTGAAATACCAAACAAGACCACAGGAAGAATCCAAAGGACTGCATATAACCTACTATACGGCTCCATTCAGAATACACCAAAATACAACTGAAAAATTAAAACATTCTGGATGTGTGGAAACTCAGTGATCATGTCTGTGTTTGGAGCGTGTGATGCCCATATGTACATAAACACTACTGACCCTCACAAACTTCTCCAAAACACACTTCTTCGGAGAGCATCTGTTATAAAACACTTGCTGTACATTAATTTTGACAACTACATGAATATACTGAACTGTGTTAATGCAGAAATATGATGTTAGTGATCAGTGCGGCGAGAGTGCATCAGTAATAAACACGGATACACGCGCGCTTAATGTACGACTCCTGTATGTCACTGTAATCATCTTTACCTTGATTACAATCATCATCCATCAAAACTTGACTTGCGCATGGCTTGGCTTGCTTTATCCAGCCGAGAGCTGCAGTTTGTGTATCAAAGACTCATGCAGCGGTCGGGTGTTTTGTGCTGCTGTTCAGTCTGTATCTCACACAGCGCGATGAGAAATGGCTTGAGCTGCTACGAAACACAGAATATGTGCAAGAGGTGGTGCTAATTTTTTTTAATGTATTTAATGAATTGATCATACAATTTGTGAATAAAAAAGCTTTAATTTTAAGTTATTTTGTGTCTCAAGATTAGGGCTACAGCTGCCTGTAGTTGCACTGCTGCTGGCAGCATTATTGCCAAACATCAGTTATTTTTTGCATTTTGTAGCGTCGGTCTCTACACTTCTCTTTCTTTCGGTCTCTAAGGACTTCGCCTTTATCTTTACGTTTTTTGCTTGCCATCACGAGTCCACTCTCCTTCGCATCGGTTTCAGCAAAAAAGATTGCATTAGCGCAAGCTTTTGTTGGCCATCAATGTCACTTAATCTGACACTTTTTCTTTGATGATGGCCAGTCCGCCCCTGATCGTAACTGTATATTTTCATGCTTTCGCAAAAAATTTTTTTTGAAAGTGCACTGAAAACAAATCTTACATTTTTGGTCATAGACAATGTATGTTGAAGATATAGGTTATTTAGCAACATCATGCCTGAGTAAACTAAAAAAGTGATATATAAAAACATGAAAAAAATTTTTTTTTGTATTTTGCATGGACTGTTGTTGGAGTAGCATCCCCCGGGTGAGAGATTTTACTCCCACTTACAGTCAATAAAAGATAATTCATTAGAGGCAGAGACATATTGACTGGAGGAATCCCCACCATCTCCCCACCCCCTGAATATTGCGTAACATTACATAATATGTAAACGTTATTTGGGGAATTTTACTTGTTTTTCTAGCATTGAAATAACAATGGATAAATATGAAACTATGGAAGAAGGATTGGCGATAATCGGAGACGTCACGTCATGACAGACGAATTGGGATAACGCTTAGAGAGACCAATCTACTTCGAGTGTAAACTAAACGAGCCAATGGACATTGGCATGCGATGATTGCATCCAGCTGCCGCTGATCACAGCGTGAGCATAAAAAGGTAGCAGGTGCAACGCATACCATGTTTTTGCTGAGGAGCTGAGCCGGTAACCCGACCGCTCAGCAGTGGTTCAGCAGCCATGGCGATGGGACATGATGTCTCCATTCCCTCCTTCAGGGAACAAGGGTTACATACATAACCAAGATGTTCCCTTTCAGTCGATCACTACGAGCCACGTCGTGACCGACGAATTGGGATCCCTACCAAAGCGCCATGGATGGGTGACCCTTCCAGTGTCCTGTGCGAGCCTCCTGCGCCCCCTTTTTGGTGTAGGCCGGGGCTCGCACCAAGAAGACCAGTCACTGTTGTCGTAGTACTACCCACTCAGTAAGTCAGTTTTATTGAAAAAACTGGGAAAACGTAGCCGTTCCACTTGGAACAGGAATGTTGCGGAAGCCCCATCCTTCCCGAAGGAGGTTTCGGAAGCCCTTACACATATGAACAACCGGTTAGGTGCATGTAGAAGATTAGAGGTGATTGTAACCCTCTTGGAAATGGCAGAAGTCTGCCAGGGAAACACGGGCTCTGAGGCTATACCGTGAACTTATGGGATCCACTTAGGTCTCTACATATGGAACCAAGCCCTCTACCGGTTCTCACGGATTCATTGAGTGAGGGCCTGGCACCGGACGTTCTGCCGAGGGGATGGAGGAGCTCGAAAGGGTCTACAGTACGGACTCTCTGGAGCGGTTTTAGCAAGCCGACACTAAACCGGGGCCTCTCAGTGCTTCTACCTGTTTGAGGTGAGAACACAGGAGGATACCGGCTCCACACGAAGGCTATAGAATCTAGTGAATGTGTTGGGGGTCGCTCAGCCCACAGCTCTACAAATATCTGTCAGCGAGGCGCCACGAGCCAGTGCCCAGGAGGATGCAACACTTCTAGTAGAGTGAGCTTGCAACCTGAGAGGGCAGGGCACACCCTGTGCCTGATAAGCCAGGGTGATGGCATCCACTATCCAGTGGGTTGTCCTCTGCTTAGAGATGGCATTCCCCTTCTGCCGGCCTCCATAAAGGACAAAGAGCTGGTCTGAGGTCTTAAAGCTTTGTGTCCTGTCTACATACCATCTCAAGGCTCGGACGGGACAAAGCAAAGCTAGGGCTGGGTCTGCCTCCTCCAGGGGCAACGCTTGCAGGCTCACCACCTGATCCCTGAAGAGAGTAGTGGGAACATTGGACACATAGCCAGGTTGGGGCCTCAGGATTACCTGGGAGTCAGCCGGCCCAAACTCTAGGCACGAATCATTGCCCGAAAATGCGTGCAGGTCCCCTACCCCCTTGATGGAGGCCAGTGCAAGCAGGAGAGTTTACATTGATAGAAACTTCAGCTCAACTGACTGCAAAAAGGCTCAAATGGGCCCTGCTGTAGTGCTTTGAGTGCTAGAGACAGGTCCCAAGAGGGTGTAGAGGATTTAATCTTCTTGCCCCCCTAAGCCGACTTCCCTTCCACAGGGTCATGATTAGCAGCAATCGCGGTGACATAGACTTTAAGGGTGGAGGGAGACCACCTTCGCTCCAACCCTTGCTGAAAAAAGGAAAGCACTACCCTGATCGGTTATCTCCGGGGGTCCTCTCGGCGAGAAGAACACCACTCGATGAACAGGTTCCACTTCAAGGCGTAAGCTTGTATCATAGACAGTGCACTCACCGAAGTGATGGTGTTAACTACCTCCTAGGGTAGGTCACCTAGAACCTCCGCGTCCCGCCCAGGGACCAGACATGAAGTTTCCAGCGGTCTGGATGTGGGTGCCAGAGGGTGCCCCGTTCCTGAGTCAGTAGATCCTTCCTCAGAGGAATCTGCCAGGGAGGGGCTTTCACAAGGAGCATTAGTTCCGGGAACCAGGTCCGAGTGGGCCAATACGGCGCCACAAGCAGGACCTGCTCCTCGTCCTCCCTGACCTTGCACAGTGTCTGTGCGAGAAGGCTCACTGGGGGAACACATACTTGCGCAGGCCCCGTGGTCAGCTGTGTGCCAGTGCATCCGTGCCGAGTGTTGCCTTGTTCAGGGTGTAGAACAACTAGCAGTGAGAGGTTTCTGGAGAGGCAAACAGGTCTACCTGAGCAGCTCCAAAACGTTCCCAAATCAGCTGGACCATCTGGGGATGGAGTCTCCACTCTCCGGGAGCGCAGCTTGTGACAGCTTGTCGGCTGCATGGTTGTGCAGGCCTGGAATGTAAATGGCACAAAGCGATCTCGGATGCTTCTGACTCCAGAGGAGGAGGTGGCGGGTGAGTTGCGACATACGACGGGAGCAATATACCACCTTATCGGTTGAAGTACGCAACAGTCGCAGTGTTGTCCGTGCGGACCAGCACGTGCTTGCCTCGTAAGCGCACTCTGAGACGTTCAAGGCAAGGCGTCCTGCTAACAACTCTAGGCAGTTGATGTGCCAGTGCAGTTGGGGGCCCGTCCAAACCCCCGGCACTGCATGCCCGTTGTACGTGGCCCCCCAGCCAGTGGTGGAGGCATCTGTGTAAACCTCAGCATGCCTGGAGACCTGTTCCAGGGTCACTCCTGCCCAGAGAAATGCAAGGTCTGACCATGGGGGGAAGGTTTGGCAGCAGGCTGGTGTGACTTGGACCCGGTGAGTGCCGCGTAGCCACGCCCACCTCAGGACTCGGCCATGGAGCCAGTGTTGAAGTGGTCTCATATGAAGCAGCCCCAGTGGCGTGACTGCCGCTGCCTTTCTTGGGTACAATGAAGTAGGGGCTGTAAAACCCCGTCTTCATATCGGCTGGAGGCACCAGCTCTATCACTCTATCAGCTCTGAAGCAAAAAGCTGGTATGCGTTGCACATGCTACCTTTTTATGCTCACACTGTGTTCAGCGGCAGCTGGATGCAATTATTGCATGCCAATGTCCATTGGCTTGTTTTGTTTACACTTGAAGTAGATTGGTCTCTCTAAGTGAGATCCCAATTCGTCGGTCACGATGTGACTTGTAGTGACTGACTGAAAGGGAACTGCAAGTCAAGGTACGAGACCAAACAGGACCATGGAGGTGCCAAAAGACTAACACTAACCCTATACCAACTGCTTTGACTTGACTGCATACAGCTCTATCCATTCAGAATTACTAAACATTTCACTTAATAACATTTTAACACATAGTAACAACATTTTTGGGTGCAATAAGTAAGTATGAATGCAATCTGAATTTACTACATTTGCCACATTGGCACCGTCACGTGAGCAGAGCAAGGCGCCCCATTTGCCTTGTCATTTACAACTCCTCTCCAATGGCACGTGGAAAGTAGTTTGCATTGGATGTTGTCATGGTTTCACCAGTCATTTACAACTCCTCTCCAATGGCACGTGGAAAGTAGTTTGCATTGGATGTTGTCATGGTTTCACCAGTCTCCCCTATCACAGTCATCCAGTCAGAAACTACACTTCCCAGAATCCCTCCTGTCCCTCACCTGTGCTCACTTTGCCATCACTCGCACCTGTTCCCCATCATCACTAATCATAGTCCCTACATAAGTACACACCTCAGCCTCAGTCTTTGTCTGGTGTACAACTTGAAATCTTCCAACCCTTCAGACTACCAACTTATCTGAATACTTACCTCCACGTTGATCTTCATTATTCTCTTCTCCTGCGATCCTATCTCCTTAATCCAGCATCCAAGACTGCTTCCTAGGATCCCTGTAAGATAAAGATTCACTCTTATTACAAGTATCAGCGACATTCAAGTTGTGTGTGTGCGGTGCTGCTCAACTTCTCACACACAAGATGGCCACCCTCTAGAAGACTATGTGGAGGAGTTCCTCAAGCTCTCCCATCTGGTTTCCTGGAGCAATGACACCCTGAAGACCGTTTTCTGGAGTGGGTTGGAAGATACTCTTTTCCAACAAATATTAGTGGTGTTTGATGTTGAGCTGAATTCTGCCCACGTACCCTTCCCTGGCACACTGTCTATACCCTCTTGCATTATCAACCTTATGGGTAAAGGATAGGGAGGAACTGAGGAGTCCATATCTCCTCGACTGGTTCCATCCAGCTTCAAGTCTCCTTTGTCGGCCTGCTCTAAGTCTACTGGTAGTGGGTAGGTGTGGTACACTACTAAAAGAACATACACGCGCACACACACTCATACATTTCAGTTTGAGTTATCTGAGATAATTGTGCATTCATGGGTTGGTTTAAAAGGGACTATGTATTGATACTTGAAACCACGATCAGCAATGCAGCGATTGGCTGATGGCAAGACAGCAACGTAATGACATCATATGATTAAAAAAGACACCTGATGAAAAACTTGACACATTTTTGGACTTTTATAAGGAAACAGCCAAGCGAACAAAACTACATTGATGTTATAATAGATCAATGAAATGTGCACTGTTTTTATTTTATTTTATATATTTTTACATGATTCCCAATTATTTATATTCACGATTTCTAATACTTGTACAGGCTTTACATTTTTATTTCAATGTAGTAATTAGCAATTCATTTAATTTGATATCTGAACAGATTTGTTATGTGATAACATTAATTAAAGTTTCTTAAGGGGCAAGATCATGTTATCTGCATCTCCTGCAGTCCCATCAAGCCACTCCCATAATATCTGTCACCACTCAAATTAATGCATGACTCTACATTATCTGTATAGCATGTGTAAGACTCGAATACAATTATGAAGTAATAATTATATGACGAATAAATCTTTCAGTGAATAAAGCTGGCTGTGTCTGTAGTATTAAAGACTACACAACATTATTATATTATCTTTAAAATTAATTTTTAAATTATTATTATTTTTTAATTATTATTCCTGGATTAGTAGGGTACTCTTGTAATAAA